TGGTTCCCCTGGTTCCTCTGGTTCCTCTGCTTCCCCTGGCTTCCCTGGTTCCATTGGTTCCCCTGGTTCCTCTGGTTCCCCTGGTTCCTCTGGTTTCTCTGGTTTCTCTGGTTTCTCTGGTTCCTCTGGTTTCTCTGGTTCGTCTGGTTCCTCTGGTTCCCAGGGTTCCACTGGGTTCTCTGGCTCCTCTGGTTCCCCTGGTTCCTCTGGTTTCTCTGGTTCCTCAGGTTTCTCTGGTTTCTCTGGTTTCCCTGGTTCCCCTAGGTTCTCTGGTTCCCCTGGTTTCTCTGGTTCCCCGGATTCCACTGGGTTCTCTGGCTCCTCTGGTTCCTCTGGTTCCTCAGGTTTCTCTGGTTCCTCTGGTTCCCCTAGTTCCCCTAGGTTCTCTGGTTCCACTGGTTCCCCTGCTTCCTCTGGGTTCTCGGGCTCCTCTGGTTCCCCTGGTGCCTCTGGTCCCCCTGGTTTTCCTGGTTCCCCTAGGTTCTCTGGTTCTACTGGTTCCCCTGGTTCCTCTCGGTTCTCTGGCTCCTCTGGTTTCCCTGGTGCCTCTGGTTCCTCTGGTTTCCCTGGTTCTCCTAGGTTCTCTGGTTCCACTGGTTCCCCTGGTTCCTCTGTTTCCTCTGGGTTCTCTGGCTCCTCTGGTTCCCCTGGTGCCACTGGTCACCCTAGGTTTTCTGGTTTCACTGGTTCCCCTGGCTCCTCTGCTTCCCCTGGTTCCTCTGGTTCCCCTGGTTCCACTGGGTTCTCTGGCTCCTCTGGTTCCTCTGGTTCCCCTGGCTCTTATGGGTTCTCCGGCTCCTTTGGTTTCCCTGGTGCCTCTGGCTCCTCTGGCTCCTCTGGCTCCCCTGGTTCCCCTGGTTCCCCTGGCTTCTCTGGGTCCAGGTTCACAGAAACATTGATTGTTACTGCTGCTAAAAACAGTTTAAAGGAACACAGGAGGTTCAGAACAGACACAATCTAATGACCACCTAAGACCAGTCAGACACCAGTCAGACACCAGATAGAAACCAGTCAGACACCAAGTAGACACCAGTTAGAAATCACTCAGACACAAGGTAGACACCAGATAGACACCAGTCAGAAACCAGTCAGACACCAGGTAGACACCAGTCAGACACCAGGTAGAAACCAG